GTAGCTCACAGCTCACAGCAACCTCCAACTCCTGGGCTCAAGTGAGTCTCCTGCCTCAGCCTCCCAAGTAGCTGGGACCATAGGCACCCACCACAACGCTGCTATTTTTTGGTTGCAGCCGTCATTGTTGTTTGGCAGGTCCGGGCTGGATTCAAACCCGCCACCTTAGTTGTATGTGGCTGGTGCCTTAGCCTCTTGAGCCACAGGCACCGAGCCTCTCAGGCTGGTCTTGAACTCATGAGCTCAAGCAATCCACCCTTCTCAGCCTCCCAGAGTCCTAGGATTATAGGTATGAGCCACTGTGCCTAACCAATCTATCTTATACATACATATGTCTACATATATACATGTATGTATATATATATAAATGTTTTAACTATTGCATTATAAAAAATTACCCCAAAGCTTAGTAGCTTAAAACCACAAACATTTATTACCTTACGTAGTTTCTTAGGGCTGAGAGTCTACAAGCTAGGTTTTTCTGGTACAGGGCCTCTCATGAGGTTGTGGGATATTATTATTAATAATAATTCAGTCATCTGAAGGTTTGACAGGGCTGGAGGGTCTGCCTCCGAGCTCCCTCACTGGAGTGTGTGCTAGAAGCCTTCGCTCCTCACCACGTCCCTCTCCAGAAGGCTCCTCTGACATGGCAGATGGCTTCCCTCAGACACGGCAAACTGAGATGGGAGGTGACCTGCCTTTTATAACCTAACGTCAGAGTGACAGATCATCCCTTCTGCCCTGTGCTATTCATCAGTCAGAGAGATGATGCTGGGACAGTGTAGGAGGGAAGTACACAGGGTGTGACTAACAGGAGGTTGGACCACTGGGGCCTCTCTGGAAAGTACACTCTGCCACACAGACAGAGTTATACAAATACAACTTCCTTCTTTTATCTGTCTTAAGCCCACATCTGGATTTTGTTTTGCTTCATCCCCACACTCCAGTTTCTAGCATGCAGCAGGTACTCAGCAAATGCTTAGATGGATATTGTACGGGGCCTGACTAGTGTTTGCCCAGGCCAGCCTCCTCTGTCCCTGCAGAGCACGTCTCAGCCCCCTGCAGGTGGATGGGCCTGGCCAGTTAAACGTGTCACTGTCATGCTGAGGCAGTAAGAGGCACGGCCATGACTCTCCAGTCTCTCTTTCCTGCAGTGACATGTCAGGAACTGTAGATGCTAAATGCTCCAGCAGGCGCAGCTACAAGCACAAACACCCTCCTCAACTTCTGTCTCAGATCTAAGAGACTAGGTGGAACTGAGACTCTGTCCCTGGAGGAGACAAGCATCAAGCAAGCAGAAAGTCTCTGAGCCTTCTGAGAGTTGTTACTGTAGCCTAACGTGGCCATTGGTGATTACAGATCTATTATATATTTTGTCAGTCCTGCTAGCCCCACGTTATAGATGGGGAAACAGAGGCTCAAAAAGGCCAAAAGACTTATCCAGGATCACACAGCAGGTAAACAGTGGTGCTGAATTTCGAATTTGAGTTTTCTATCTACTAGCTTAGGAAGAAGTATGGTTAATTCCACAGAGGTTTGAACCAGTAAACTTGACCTGACACCCGATGAGCAAACCACTAAAACTCTCTAGGACTCAATCTCAGTCTGTAAAACGGGGGCATAACGATTACCTTCTTCAAAGGGTTGTTGTGAGGATTAAATGAGATGAAATCATAAACCATCAGTTCTTGACAAAATGCTATATGTTGTCATTGTCATTTCCCTTTTACCAGCTTCTGAACTATGAGTTAGTCAGTCAGATCTTTCATAAGACAGGTTCCAGTCAATTCCAAAGCCCCAAGACTATGTGCTCCTTGGCTTCTCTTGGTGAAGATGTCCAAGTAATTTTTCTCCTTTGAAAACATAACCTGTATTCCAGCCCCTCTGTTCCCAGCCCTTCTCTGCCCAGCACGCTTTCTTGTGCATTTCTCATTCGAGCAACTAGCTGGGCGACAGATGCGGCCTTGTTGACTCAAGTTTGTAGACACAAACACAAAGCAAAGCAGCTTCTTGCTCTGCCAGCATTTAAGAACTTACTACAAGAGAACACTTTCAAGGAAAACAAAGCTTGGTCTACAAAGGCCACACAGGCACCTCCATCGGGGGAAGGGGCCTTTCCAAAGCTCTTCTCGTGTATTGGTAAAAACTCATTACTCATTTTCCTGAGTATGGGAACAGTCAAACAAATGATGACCCAGCCACTTAATAAAGTAATATATAGTCTCCCAAAAGGACAAGGTAATGACGTAGGAATACTGACTGGGAACAATGCTGATGACACAATTTTAAGTGTAGAAAAGCAAGTTCTACAACATATGCAGTTTAATCCTCATTTTCTAAAAGAAATACATTTTTTTTTTTTTTTTTGAGACAGAGCCTCAAGCTGTCCCCCTGGGTAGAGTGCCGTGGCATTACAGCTCACAGCAACCTCCAACTCCTGGGCTCAAGCGAGTCTCCTGTCTCCGCCTCCCAAGTAGCTGGGACCACAGGCGCCCACCACAATGCCCGGCTATTTTTCTTTTTTTGGTTGCAGCCGTCATTGTTGTTTGGCGGGTCCAGGCTGGGGATTCGAACCCACCACCTTAGGTGTACGTGGCTGGCGCCTTAGCCGGTTGAGCTATAGGTGCTGAGCCAAGAAATACATTTTAATCTGGATACATACAAATGTGTATAACTATATATATGTATATCTGTATATCTGTATATACAAACATACAGACATAGACACACCTATATATAAAAAAAAATGACAGAACCATTCAAAATTTTTAACTGTGACCGTTTATCATATGGGATAAAAGGATAATGAAGGCTTCTATATTGTTTGAATTTGAGTCAGACATATGAAGTCCACCAATTAAGTTTGCAAACTCACACTAGAAAAAGTGCTATGTACCTCGCTGCTGAGTATCACTGTGGCCACCTTCTAGGGAATCCCCCTGGGAAGCTCTGCACCAATGGCAGTGCTTAATCCACATTTCAAAACAGTTTGGGAACTATTTTTCTGGAATGATCATCGGAGGTGTCATTGTATGACACACAAAAACACGCAACAAAAATAATGAACATCACTCAGCAAGACACTACCACATGTCAACACAGACACAGCTGTGAGACACTGATATATGAAGGTTATGAAACCCTATCACATTGTTTGTACAGTGCTGCCAATGTTAAGTGCAAGGTGGCAAGTTTGAGAACTTATTTGTCAGGGCTTATACCATGACAGCTCTGATACTCAGCAATGAAGTATGCAGCACTTTTTCTAGCATGTGTTCGAAAACTTAATAACAGATTTCATTATATTACTTGTTATTTTAAAAATATATACACATAGATAAAAATAAGCTACCTGTCTTTCAAATAAGGACAATGTTAATGACACCAAGAAGGTGTTCAAGCCCTGTGTCATCTCATTCAACCCTCACAATATATCTATAAGGTAAGTGTAATTATGCCTGTATTACAGATGAGAAAAGTAAGGCTCAGAGTCAAGTGTTCAAGGTCACACAATTAAGTATGCAGCAAAATACATTAGAGAACAGAACATGTAGTTCCTATAACATTGTCTGTACTCAGTAAATACGGTGCCACAAATTTCACAAATTCACCTGCTCATCAAATTCAGGCTTCAGAGAGTCTTCAGTGAAGATGTGAAATTGTATCTTCCTGTGGCTAAAAAGAACAGCCGATTTGAGCATGACCATTGTCTCCTCCAGCCGATTGCCACAGGCTACCACAGCCAGGTGGATCCACAGCTCAGGTGGTAGCACAGCTTGGAAACCCCTGGGGTCTCCAGGCCTCCTAGAAAGAAGAAAAACAGGTTGAAGCTATTACAAAACCAAAAAAAAAAAAAAAAAAAGGAAAGAAAAAAAATAAACAAAAAAGCCAGTAAATGGTTAGAACATTTCAAAACATGAACAGGCACAATCTGTTATATTTTTATAGAGTGATAAGCATTTTGACAATTCTTCCTGCTTAGAGAAAAATACCATTTATTCCCATATTTATTCTGGCACTAGTAGGATGAGTCACTGTTTGGACTGCTATAGGTGTCTGAGACTTTTTCTGCCAGCACTCAGCTGCCTAGTGCCTGCTGGCTGCCTACTGGCCCATGTTTGGAAATAGTATTGCTAAACTTCGACAGCTGACACAAGGGCTGTAGCGCTCCCACTTGCTTGGGCCGTGGAAATTAGATTTGAATGCAACTTGAACAAGAGGAGGGTAGGCTGCGGCTTTCCCATGTGAAATGAGCAACATGATATTCCCATCATCTGGATGTTTTTAGGTTGCGGTGGAATGCATGACCACTGAACCAAAGGAAAGTCATGCAAGTTTGGGAGGTGAGCAAAGAAAACAACATATGTGCTCCTGCTGCATCTCAGGAGAGTCTTGAAGAAACAGGTGTTAATCCCGACTGTCTCGCCAAAGATTGCTGAGGTGGCAGGTATGAAATTTATATTAATGAGAAACAGGCAGGAGAGGAGGGCAGGCTAAACTGAAAATGATCAAGGTATCCTATAGCGAGTCAACAGCTGAAAGGGGAATGGGGTCCAAGAGTCCAGAATCATCATCCAGCTATTTCCTAGTAATAAGAGATTTGTTCCAGACAAAGAGATGCAGCCAAGCCTCAAATACACCACTGAGAAACATTTGCAGGCAAGTTGGAAGAAGTTGGCCTGGAAAAGGTGCCCTGAGACAAATGAAACTAATTTACTTGCACAAAAGATCTGGAGACCAGGGGAACTTGGATGTCAAATGCTACCTTCCTTCCAAAAACTTCGAGTTCAATCAGCTTGTTGCTCCATTATTCTCTGCTTGGTTGAATAATGGCAGTCTTGCTCCAGATTTCTTTCGCCAGGAGGAAAGTCAAAGATGTGGGTGGAGCTCTTTGGAAACCTTTCCAATTTGATTACTTAAGAGCATGCTTAGCGAAGCACAGCCTCATGGCACTGCTAAGCCCAGATGCAGAGAGTTACTTGTCTATGTCTGTATGTTTGTATAAATATTCCATTTATTTTGAAGATCACAGGAAAAGACAGTAGAGGTGCCCTGTGTATCCCAGAAACTGTCCACTTCTCTCCATCCTCCCCCCATTACCTGGTGTGGCCGCCATCTCCTCTCACTTCAATCACTAGGACAGCCACCTGGGTGGTCTACCTGATCCAATATTATCTTTAACCCCCAACCTATGTTTTCTCCTTATTGATGCCAGGGCTTGTGATCTTCTAAAATGTAACTAAGATTGTATTATTCCCTCTTTTTTTTTTTTTTTTTGAGACAAGGTCTTGCTCTGTTGCCCTGGCTAGAGTATAGTGGCCTCTGCTCTGTTGCCCTGGCTAGAGTGCAATGGCCTCATCATAGCTCACAGTTACCTCAAACTCCTGGGCTTAGGTAAATCTGCCTCAGGCTCCTGGATAGCTGGGACTACAGGTGCCCACCAGTATCCTGGTTGATTTTTTTCTACTTTTTGTAGAGCCAGGGTCTCACTCTTGCTCAGGCTGGTCTCGAACTCCTGACCTCAAGCAGTCCTCCTGCGTTGGTCTTCCAGAATGCTAGGATTATAGGCATGAGCCAGAATGTCTAGCCTTGCTATTCCCTTGATTAAAATCATGCAAAAACTCCCTATTGCCCTCAAGGTCAAGTTCAAGCTGTTGGTTATGGCTCCTACTTACATCTAATGCAAGTGCTCCCAGCATTCCAGTCTAGGCAACCATTCATAATCACAGTCATAGTCATACTTATATCCATATTCTCTGTTTCATTTCCAGTTCAGAACACCATGCTGTGTTGGCTCCAGGTCCTGGCACACGCCTTATCTATCTGTCTATCTTTTAGAAACGCTCTTCCTGCCCTCTTTTCCTTGATAACTCTAGCCTATTTATTAATTGACAAATCTATTCTATAAAGGCACTATTCTAGGAAGAAAGCAGTAAACAAAACAAAGATGCTTGCCTTGGCAGAAGTTACATTCTACAGGGGATAAGGAAATAAATAATAGTCAAAATAGATAATCACTAAGTGACTTATACAGAAAGTTAGACAGTGTTAAGTACTACAGAGGAATAACATGGTTGAGCAGGATAGAGGTACCAGGAGCACTGGTGGGCTGGTGCTATGTTACACAGCACCATGATGGGACGGGCCTCACTAAGGTGAGCTGAGTGAATGTGGGGTGGGGTTGGGGGAAGGAGCCCTGTTTCTGGGGTAAGGACATTGCAAGCGGAGGGAACAGCAGAACAAAGGCACTAAGTCAAGGGTCTGCCTGGATTATTAAAGGACCCCTGCCTACAAGACTCACACACCCATTCTCTTTTGTGGCTTCATGGGTGGGTGGGTTTTCAAACCTATTATTAAAGCCAATGTCCAATTAACTTATGTAATGCTGTGGGAATGGTATGTTAAAGATAATCATAAAATGACAATCAGTTAAAAGAATCACAGTTAAGACACTAGCCAAAATATGATAAAAAGAGATTTAATGGGAACCCATTTGCTTAAAATTATGCCCAATATTTAGGAACATGAGTATGATTCAAAACTACCCACACAGTAAATGAAACCACTTCGCTATCTCATATATGAACATCCTCCTATGGCCCCAAACGGAGCAACTCCACCTAATTTAGCTTAACACGTTGCGCGTCTGGATTAGTAATCAGGAAAATGCAAATTCAAACCATAAAGAGATTCAACTTTACTTTCAGTTCGGTGAACATCACAAAAGAAAATAAAAGGCCTTCAGTGAAGACGTGAGGCAGGGGACGGCTCTGGCACTGCTGCATACAAGGCAAATAGGTCCAAACACTTTGGAGAGCCATTTGGCAACATTTAGCAGGGGTGGAGAGGACACACACCCTCCAGCCTCCTGGTTTTACTCCTACGTATACAGTCTGAAGAAATCCTTGCGGATTTGCACAAGCCCTACGCAAGAATGTTCACAGCAGCCCTCGTTATGATAATAAAACATTGGAAATAAATGTCGCTGTCCATGCAAAGGAAACTAGTTGAGTCTGACTGATATGTTTAAAAAGTGGAATACCAGAGACCAGAGAAAAGGAATAAACCAGCATGGCACAAATCAACATAAAGCCAAAGAGGGGGAAAAAGTAGTTTGTACAAGGATAGCAACAGAATGATATTGTTTATCATTTGCTTGGAAACAAGCAAAACAGCACCATATGCTATTCACAGATAAATACAGCAAAAAGAAAATGCCTTTTATTTTTGGAGACTTAAAATTTTATTCCTCAAGCTGAGTGGTGAATACACAGAAATTCATCTGCATCTTTTGTGTTCTCAAACAATTCAAAAAATACTTTTTTTTATTTTTAATTAAAAAAAGCTTTCATAGCTTGGTGCCTGTAGGTCAGTGGTTAGGGCGCTGGCCATATCAGGAAAATGCAAATTCTGAGGCAGATGGGTTCGAACCCAGCCCAGGCCCACTGACCAATAATGACAACTACAAGAACAACACAAATACCCGGTGTTGTGGCAGGTGCCTATCGTCCTGCTACTTGGGAGGCTGAGGCAAGAGAATTGCTTAAGCCCTAGAGTTTGAGATTGCTGTGAGCTGTGACACCATAGCACTCTATCGAGGATGACATAGTGACACTCTGTCTCCAAAAAAAAAAAAGCTTTTACTCCCTACAGGACAGCAGGCCACCTCCTTTCCTCTTGGCAGGCTTCAGTAATTGGGGCCTGTACAGTACAAAAAAGCAGGCACTACGGACTGCAATCTTTCATGGTGTCTGGTGACAGGTATTAAAAAAGAAAAATAAAGCCTCTCCTGGTGCAGTTCAAGTATCAGTGGTTTGGATTTAATGAGACCTTTGCTGGCCTCACTCTTCTCATATTACATGAAAAATCTCAGGCTTCAGGTAATTAGCGTTGGAGTTGTGCAGTCACAATGAATAATAAAGTTTAAGGGCGCTGGGATGGTATGGTTTTCACTAGCTCTTACCAATGCCACACTCAGCACTTCTCAAATGTCACCTGAGACTCTGTGAGGTTCCAGGATCTAGTATAGGAACCCAGAACTCGGTAACACCTTGAATGATGGTGTTTGGGCAGGAAGAGGCGGGATGGAATTCTAGCACAGCTGTGATTAATGGTTAACTACGTCCTTATTTATACTTTATAAATGGGAACTGGAGTGGACATTTGCTGTTTTAAGGACCTGTTTCTAAGGCCGGGGCTCATGGCAACCATCTCGGCCACCACCCTGGTAGAACCAGAATGGGAATCAATTTAACACAGTAGAAACAGCACCAAACATGACAGATCAGATCTCTGGTGACATGACCTCCGTCCAGGTACACCTGACCCTGACCTTGGACAGTTTAGTCATTAAGCCAATAAATTCCCTTTTGCTTAAGCCAGTTGGAAGTAATTACAGTTTAGCAACCAAAAATGTTTCCTAAGTTGCAGAAGTATGTTTCTGTTGTTGTGTTTTTTTTAGCAGCCGCGCTGAGAGTGAGCCCTATGTGGTTGGTGCGCTATGACAGGCACTGCCTGTGTAACTAGTGGAGCTGACGGGCTACCATGCGGCTCAGCGAGAGCCACGTCCTGACGGATTTTACCAGTGAGATACGGAGGGATGTCTACACACACGTGCATGCAGCACTCTCGCCCTGAGGTCCAGGGAGTAGCCTAAGAAACAAGCCTTCAGCACTACCCTAAAAGTATGTTTTTATTTTTGGAAGCGAACATAAGTTCTAAAAGTATGTTTTTATTTTGAAGACAGAGTCTCACCCTGTGCCCTGGGTATCGTACCATGGCATCCTAGCTCACAGCAACCTCAA